GCTGATAATGTTGACGGTTTCCACTGCTCCTGTGCCGCAGCGCCATTCATTGAAGATGATCGCTCGAAAGTGCTCTTGTGGAATCGACATCATGATTAAAGTTAAAGAAGGCAACCCGGCTATATATACCTACTGCGGAGAAGTATGATCGACAGCGATAATCTATCACGTAGCAGATTCTAGGTATCGATCAATAAGCGAAAGTTCTTTCGAAAAATCGGCTCAGGACTTTCTTACCATCCCAAGTAATTGTAAAATTATGAGGAAGACGGCGTAGTGGACAGTGACGCCGTATCCCACCTGCACAGATTAAGGAATCAAATCCTTGATACGAAAATGCACAGTGCAAGTATGCGTTGACTGGACAGATCACAATCCGCCAGAGCCCACTCAAAAAATATTTCAAGAATGCCGATCGAAGCAAAATGTTTGGCCCATTCCAGGTCGAAAACACTGTCAAACGGATTTATAGCGTAATTCGCAGTCACTATTCATTCTGAACTCTTCCTAGCGCTTTTCTACCTTTCATTGCGTTCACTACTATCATGTGAGCCCGCAGAGTTCCGTGCATGGCTGAGAAAGAGGTAAATCGCAACTGATTTCTTTTCTTTGACTTCTTTTCAGCGACATGATGGCTAAAGTGAAAATCACCTCGTAGTTGTCGGGATCGACTTGTAGTTCTGGAATTCCTGAATCGATAGTCTCCACGAGTCTCATCGAGCAGCTCTTGAAGAACACCGATTGAGGTCGACCTGGAAATCAAGTGGACTTTCAATGAAATCAATTATTGCTCATTTCGTGAAAATGCTATGACTTGATCGGCCTGCTTCAGTTTATTTTTGCTCTACTCCATAGTCGTCAATTTCAATTTCAATTCAGTTTTGTAGCTCGAGTTAGAAGCTCAATCAAAGTAGGTAGATATATTAGAAATCAAAACCAGGGACGGCACTGAATCAGCAGCGCAATAGCAACTAATCAGAATAGAGAGCTATGTAAGCGTTCCGTAATTCCCAATAATCTGCCAAAGTCGAGATGAAGATAGGCTTTACTTCATTTCTATGCAACCTTACTTTGAATCTCAAGGTGCTCGATTTAGTGGTCAACTTGTTAGGTAATGAGTACATTTATATAATTTGTTCGCAAGAAACCAACCATACCTCTCAAAGGATGAATTCGTACCCGCATGCCGGGCTCAAGGAAGGACAATTGAAAAGCCTGAAAACATACTTTTCTTTGAAAATGCAATGCAGAGGTACATAGCGCAATTTCCTTAATAAAATCACAAGAAATAACAGTAACATCTTAAAATCAGCGAGCAAAAAGACACCTTATCTATATCCTTGCCGTTCTCGATTGCCAGCGAGTTGATCACTTGATGACGTTCTCCACCTGTAAATCACTCACATTTATGAAGTTTTGTTCCAGGTTCCCAATTTTTTACTAACCATAAGCCAAAGTGCTGACACGTCCAGTAGCCTGCTACGAATTTTAGCTCATTTTTGGCATCTTCTACATGACTCCATTACCACTGTGATAAAGACACCGCCTTCTATTCAACCTGATCCATTTAAGAAACTATACAGCAATTCTCAGAACATTTTCCCCTGCTGCTGGCCATGTTATCACGTCCCTTTATTGCAGTGTTTCTTGGAAAACTTCGCCCCTCTCAAGGGTTACCCTGTGACACAGTTCATCAGCTAACTGTATCAGATGCACAAAGTGACTGTTCTGTCGCTTAGTTACAGGAAATGGATGCAAAAGTAAGAAGTTTTCTGAAAAGGAGCAGACATTGAGACAGGGCGAGTTGAGGTATTAGCGCCGTAAAATAAGGGACGTTTAGTATAAACGCTATGAGATAACAAAAGCTGGAACTTTCGCCTTGATGCCGAGCCACAATCGTGATATCTACCCTCTGCTTCCGCTTAGCCAAATGAACGTCGAATGCAGACCATACACCAGGTCTAGTAAATCTAGTAACTAGTGATCCATAGTGATAGCTTATGGTTGGTAAGTGATAGCTGTGGTTAATGACAACTGATAGAAACTGCAACGACTAATCACTTAATTGGCAGAAAACATTTACATTGTGGAGGCCATCGTCTACGGTTGTGTGATCTGTACTCGACGAGCAGCAGCAAATAGTTTTCGTAAACAGGGTATATTTCGCGGTGCGTCAATGTCTCGCTCGTTCTCTGCTCTCTAGCCTTTGATGTCCTTTCTCTCATGTGAGCGACACCGCTCCTCAGTGTGTACGCTGGCCCACTTTCC